AAAAAAATATGCACTTGGAGCATCCATATCTGCAACAGAAATAAAACGGGACCTTACCAAGGCCCCTTTTACTCTCTCATTTAAAAAAGATCCCAACTCCATTTTTTTTCTCTGTAGCTTACTACTCAACATAGGATCATATCTATTAATTAATTCTGCTTCTATAGATGATATCTCATTCTCAACATTCTCAAAACTGCTTTTTTTCATTTGCCACTGTTGCCAAAAAATGTAAAAAAAGCTACAAAATTCTTTATCTTGAAGCGACCCAGTATTAAAATGCCAAAAAGAGGACTTTTTTGAACTCTGGGACTTACTTATTACAACCAACACCAGATTATGATCTGTAAAACCCATTGGATTGATAGAACAATAATTTGACTACTCATCTGTTTAGACACATAAATTCTATCCAAGCGAGCAGCAGTAACCCTATTATTATTCACCTTCACCCATGTGTATTGCCTCACATCAGGATGTTTAACCCTCCATATATCCAAAAGATCAGTTGCCCTTATTAACTTTGATAAACAAGATGATGACTGAATATGTGGTTCTTCAGTATTTCGATCAACTGTGAAATTTTCTGTACAGTTCCAATCTCCCCCTACTATCACATTACCATCATTAAAGCATTTTTTAAACACATTACTTAACACACCAAAAAACATTAATCTTTCAAAACCTACATTTGGTGCATACACATTGATGAAATAATACATTTCCCCATCAATATCAGCTTTAACTACCAAGAGACGACCATTTATTGGTTCTTCTGTACTCAAAACAGTGACCCTTAAATCAGGTGAAAAGAGAATTGCTACTCCTGCACTCAAATTCGTTTTGTGACACTGGCCTTTCTGGCCTTTCCACCACAATCCCCACTCAATTTCATTTCCTATATCGCTATGTGTTTCTTGAACATTTTCTCTATGCAATTTTCTCTGCTCTATTATTTCAGATACTAATGCACGTTTGTGCACATCCCTCCCCCCATTTATATTAAGGGAACGGATTTTGGATATGTTTAACGGTGTTGCCATGGCAATTTATTAAAGTAACAGTAAAAAAGATAACAGTAATTTTCTCATATCTTTAAAGTTCGTTATCCTAACTCTTCAAAACTTTTTACATATGGAGAACAAGTCATTCTTAGGAAACATGCTAAGTGTCATAATTTAATCATGCTCAGGGGCCACTAAAAAATTAAAACTATCACACATTACAGGTCATAGGTGAAGACTGTAATACCAAGGATGACCACCTGATGGAGTCACAGGATTAAAAATCTTTTAACCCTCTCTGTGTATCAGAATGAAAAATAATGCATTAAATTAGTTGATATGTACTTTACTGTCAGTATATGTTTACATAATTATTGTAGAATGCTTATAGAGCATTAAAATCTTTTTTTTTTAATCATTAAAAGAAAAATCATTAAAAGTTTTATATATCCTATAACCTCTCTCACTGATAGGATTAGAAATATTTTAAGTCTGACAATTTACTGCTCAGTTGAATTAATTAGAATAAGAAGCAAATACATATCTAATATTCAAATCCGTTAAAGGATTTTTAGGCTGCATTAATTAGGTCAACCGGGAACACTTCTCATAACACCCGATGTACTTGCTACATCATTAGAAGAATGGCATCTACGCTAATATTAGTCTGTTTCTTTCTTATTCCGAGGTCACCGTAGCCACCAAATCCAGTCTGTATCCAGATCAGATGGTCACTGCAGTCACCCGGATCCAGTACGTATCCAGACCAGATGGTGGATCAGCACCTAGAGAGGACCTCTACAGCCCTGAAAGTCAGCAGAGACCAGGACAACTAGATGAGCCCCAGATACAGATCCCCAG